AATCTTTACTTTTTGTATAGTTTGAATTAGTATCCAAATAAAGTGAATATGGGACTTTCCAAGTGGCTCAATGGTAAACAATCTGGTTGAAAAGGGCTTACTACAAATAACAAAAGATGCTCCTAACACCTCTGTCACTCAGGAAATTCCTAGGGTTTTAGGAGCTCTGTGCCAGGAAATAGGGACAGAGACCAAATATGTATTTCTTATGCCACACCATCAAATTCAGGGAATGTTACAAAGATGGCATTCTATTATCTAGTATCTTGACCATACTCCAAATTTGCCAATTGCCCTGTGTTACTTTTTAAAGTGACTTTAGGGAATTCCCTGGCAGTCCAGTGGTTAGGACTCTGAGCTTTCACTGCTGAAGGCTCAGGTTCAGTCTGTGGTCAAAAAAGGAATCTATGTTAAATGTATCTTTTCATTTATTTCTTTCTTATTATCATTATTGAAGCAATAAATGTACTTAGTTCAAAAAATAGAAGTCTACACTTATGAAGAGAGCTGGACCATAAAGAAGGCTGAGAGCTTTTGAATTGTGGTGCTGGAGAAGACTCTTGAGAGTCCCTTGGACAGCAAGGGGATCAAACCAGTCAATCCCAAAGAAAGTCAACCCTGAATATTCATTGGAGGGACTGATGCTGAAGTTGAAGCTCCAATCCTTTGGCCATCTGATGCAGAGAGTCAGCTCACCGGTAAAGACCCTGATGCTGGGGAAGATTGAGGGCAGGAGGAGAAGAGGGGGGCAGAGGATGAGATGGTTAGATAGCATCACTGACTCAATGGACATGAATCTGAGCAAACTCTGGGAGATGGTGAAGCACAGGGAAGCCTGACATGCCGCAGTCCTTGGGGTCACAAAGAGTTGGACACGCCTGAGTGACTGAACAACAAACTTGTGAGGACACCATCATTCTCTTGCTTTCTCCCATTCCACCACCCCCACCGCCCCCCACCCCCCACATACACACACACACAGCTTCAGCTCGGGTAGGTGTTTCCTCTGGGATTTACCTCTGGATTTCTAGATAATATGCTTTCATGGCAATTTCTTGATTTTTCAAATGTAGACATCATCCATGGGCTTTCTACAATGGAAGAGGAGCCCTCCTGATCACCCCTCAACCTCCCTCCCAGTAGAGTTGGACCAGGAACTGTGGTTAGATACGCATTGATTACATTGTTTTTGTTTTGTAACATTTATTTATTTATTTGTCTGAGCTGCGGGGTAGTCTCCATGCCTCACACGTGCTGTTCCCTCTTCCTGGCACGCCCTCTCCAACCCTCCACTGGGGTGAACCACACTCAGCTCTTCTGTCCACTACTCAGGAAGCCGGCTCTGATGCCCTCCTTCCAAGAGCTAACCTCGCCCTTCTCTGGGCACTTCTGCTCCCTAGCCGGCTCTGGAGTGCTGGATCACTGCCGGACTGTCACCCCGGGGCGCGTGCAGGGCAATGCCTGTCATCTCTGAAGTCTTCGCAGGAGCAGGGCTCCAAGTTAGCCTTGCTGAGTGTTGGCTGAATGGATCGCCTGGCCCTGGTGCTCAGAGCTGGGAGCCTGGCGGTGGGTGGGGGCAGAGAGGGTTCAGCATCAGCCACAGTAGCGCGTGGGGTGGTGGTGGGGTGCGGTGTGCGAGGAGATAGCACTTCCTCCCACGCCCATCCCAGCCCTGGCGCTAAAGGAGAGCCCACCTCCTGGGAGGCCCCAGGGCGGCCGTCTGGTCTGCGGTCGGGCCCACTTTCCTGGATCCTGACGCCGGCGGGGCTGCCAAGGTCCGTCTCAGCCAAGGTGAGCTGAGGACACGCCAGGCTCTGCAGACTCTCATGGAGAGGGTGCTTCCGTGGCCCGGCCCTGGGCTCAGGGTGTGTGTGCCTTGACCCTTCTCATCCCCAAGACACCTTGAACCAGGTGCTATTATTAGCAGCCTCATTTCCCAGAGGAGACTGCTGAGGCTCAGAAAAGGGACCTGCCATGGGTCACACGGGGAGAATGTCCTGGAACTGGCTACTAAGAACCGAGGGCTACCTGCTCCAAGTGCTTTACATACATTAACTTGGGTAAGGCGGGACTGTTATTATCTCTGTGGAACAGATGAGGAAACCAAAGCACAGACAGGTCAAGCCACTTGCCCAAGGTCACACAGCTAGCAGCTGGCAGAAGTTGGGCATTTAGCCACAGAGCTTTTACACGCTTTGCTCTCAGCCTGACGACGAGGGTGCTGAGCCTGAGGAGGAGGAGGACGCTGGCGTTCCCTCTCAGGACACGACACACTCCAGGTTGCAAAGATTTTGCACACTTGCCACCTCACCTGCCATTCAGCTCAAGGAAGGGCACAGAGATCATCATGCCCATTTTGCAGAGGAGAAAATCAAGACCAGAGGAGGAAAAAACAAAAAACAGACCAGAGGAGGACTGGAGCAAGGTCACAGGGTAAGTTAGGTGCTGGATAGGAGCTTGGGTCCTGGGTTTGACACCAAGGCCTGGGCCCTCCCTGGCCCCCTGACTGGCTGAACACACTGAGCTTGGTAACCCTGACGAAGGGGCTTTGGAGTACGTAGGGCAGGTGGGTGCAGAATTCCTGCCTGGGAGCTCTGGAGGGGAGCCTAAGTCTTGCCTCCGGCTTGCTGTGGGGCCAGTCCTCGGTTTCCTCATCTGTAAAGTAAATAGCCTGGATCTCTGTGGCCCCGAGGGCCTTTCCAGCCTGAATTCGCTGCCCTCACTCTGAGAGGTGCCTGGGGATACAGTGTCCCCTGCTTTCCCCATTAGTGCAGCTGCCGCCCCATTTTTGCCGTAAGGTAATTTTTCCCGCCTGCTTGCAGCCTCCTCCCATCTGGTGTGGCTGCAGGCCTCAGGAAGCTGAGGGAGAGATGTCCGGCCAAGCCCAGAGCGCTTCACACTGGTTCAGGCATCAGGGCCTCCTGCTCAATCTGCCTCACCACGCTGCCCAGGGAGCACTTACTCCGCTCTGCTTCGAGGCAGAGCAGCCGGTCATCTGTCTGTTTCCCTCTGCCGCAGGACTGTGAGCCCCTCGGGGGCAGAGGTCACATGGAGATATCAAAGCTTGACAAGCTGTGAGCCCTGCAGTTCTGGGCGCAGGCCCAGAGAGGCTGTGTGTGGCAGGGATGCTGAACGGAAAAGAGAATGGAGCTGAGCAGAGAGGTGAAGGAAATCAGGCCCCTCCAGTTCCAGGCTCGGGCTCTGAGACCCCTGTGAGCACGGGAGAGGCCTAGAGGCTCTGCCCTCTGGGGGCAGTGAACAGAACAAAGAAGCGTGAAACTGACTCAGCAAGGATGTCTCCCCCCCTCCACCTGTGTAAAATTTCCATACTGTATTTATTTTAAAATTTTTTTTATTTTTTAAAAATTTATTTGAAAAAAAAATTTTATTTGACTTCCTCCAGTCTTTGTTGCATTGTGCAAGATCTTTTGTTGTGGCATGCGGGCTTAGCTGTTCCAAGGCTTGCGGGCTCTGAATCCACATCACCTTGCAATACACTGGTCCACCAGGGAAGTCCCTCGGTGAGGATGACTTTCCGTGATCTTTGGGCAGATGCTGGCCTGAGGGTGGATAGGCTCAGAGTCTCCGGGGCTTCTGCCCTTCTGGAGTCTCCTCTCTGCTTGGGCCACATTGACTGCCTCTGTCGGGAGGGCTCCGTGGGGAGCCACATCATGCCACGAATAACCATGATGTGGGCAGCGTCCTCTGGGGTCTGCTTGCCAATGGCCTGCCCAGCCTGTGATAATGAAGCCTTCTGTGCTGATGAAACCAGGATGGGCAAGGCCTGGTACATCAGGGGAGGCAGGGAGATGGGGAGGCGGGAGTGGCTGTTCGTTGCTCAGTCATGCCTGACCCCATGGATCACAGCCCTCCAGGCTCTTCTGTCCATGGAATTATCCTGGCAAGAATACTGGAATGGGTTGGCATGGAGGGGGCTCATTTGCTGTAAATGTGTGCAAAGCCGAAGCCAGGGGCACCTGCTGTGTCCTGGCCCAGTCATGTGGTCTGCACCTCTAGATGCATGATGCACTGTGTTCCCTCTGACCGTGAGGCCTTCGCCCAGCCCCCTTCCTCCATGGAAACCCACATGCCCTCTCTCGGCGGGGCTAACTCCTACTCATCTTCCAGGTCTCCGTTTCATAGTCTGACAACTGCTTCATGAGACCGACAGTAAGGTAACTGTTGGCGATGAGTGAATAGTCCTGCCTTCTCCGAGTTTCCAGGGGATGCTAATAGGCGTGACTGTAACAAGTGGCCTCCAAACAGTGGCTTAACCCAAGGAATGTTTATTTTGCACTCATATCACAGAGTGGCAGGGGGCTCTACTTCGGTGCCACTGCCACCCCGAGCCTTGGCTGGGGTCCCATTGGACGCTCTGCATCAGGCCGGCAGATGAGGGAAGAAGGGGAGCTTGGAGGCTTGGTCTGGAAGGCTGGGACTCTCTGGGACAAAATCTTGCCAGTACCGTTCCTGTTCCCAAAGGACCCTGCAGGGTTCTGGGCTCTGGGGAGCAGGAAGCCTCCCCTCTGTCTCTTGGGTCCTCAGGCCTCCCCCCTCCACCCCAGAACACACCCAGGCTGCTTACAGCTGCTCCCTCACCTTGCACCGTGGGTCTGCTTGAGCTGGGAGAGCCCCAGGGACCCCACAGGAAGTGCCAGCGCCTCTCAAGGAGCTCGGGCCCGTTGGGGTCAGACCCTCCCCTTGGTGTGGCTCTGGGTGGGCCCCTTGGCCTCTCTGGTCCTTAAGGTGAGCTCTGCCTTGGGGGTGAGCACAAAGACAAGGAGCTGGCAAGATCCAGGCCCTCCGAAGCTGGCTTGAGGTCAGCACAGGGAGAATCAGGTTGAGACAAGTGGCAGGTGAGGCCCAGCCTCCTGGGGACCCCCCCTCCTCCACCACCCCCACCCCCAGCGCTTCTGCTCCATCATCTGGGAAGCTCTGGACACCTCCTGCCCCCAGGGGTTGGGAGAGCACTGGGGGCCGGTTCGTCAGCAGGAAAATCATTTACTTCAGCTCAGCAACCTTTATTCCTGTGTTCAACGCAGTGCTGGGCATTGGGTACGGGTGGGGCCAGAGATGCCAATGACAGCAAGCCCTTCCCCCCTCCGGACCTTAGTTCTCCCCTCTGTCTAGCAGGGAGGGACTTCCTTCATCGGGAGACTGTGAGGACAGCGACAACATGCGACAAGACACAGGCCAGACGTGGTCCTTGCCCCGGGGATGGGCTCACCGTCGGGGAGGGAGGCCCAGGCCCCACCCACTGCTGGCAGCCACTGAGAAGGGTGGGTCGGGCATGGCCCAGTGACCAGGCGATGTGCCAGAGCCTCTCAGCCCTGGGTCTGGCTTCACCGAGCTCTGTCCTGGTGGCGGAGGCCTGGGCGCGCCACTAGGGAAGGCGGGAACAGTCCATGTAGAGGCGGTCACCCCATTCACAGTCCAGAGGGCCACGGAGAGGTCGCTCAGCAGGCGTGCCGTCTCATCCGGGTGCAGCGAGCGTCCCCACCGCTCTTGGCCTCCTTAGCTGGTGGTGCCCAGCGGGGGCTGTGGGGAGGCTGACCGGCTCAGGGTCACGTTGGGGAAGTTGGTGACAAAGCTCTCCCACCTTCTCCTGATCTTCTGGAAGACAGAGGAGGGGTTGAGATCAGAGCCCAGGTCCTTCCACTGTGGAGTGGGTTTCAGGTGCTGTTCCACCTACAGCCAGGAGGGGGTGGTAGACCCCAGAGACAGAAGCCCCTTCACTAGGCACCCTTTCTCCCAGAAGGCAGGAGCCAGCAGGCAGCGCCCACCCAGGGGGTCCTGATCCTCTTTTCTGGGGGGAGAAGGGACCACGACATGTAACCCTGGAGAAGCTGTACTGACCCATCTCTTGCCTCCAGCAAAATCCACCATCCAACACACTGACAGACTGGTCATCTCAGAACAGCTTTGACTGTATCATCCATTAGCTCCAAAACCTTCCCTGACTCCCCAGGGCCCACAGGATAAATCCCAAATACCTTCACGCCCCTCTGGAATACCTCTCTCTGCAGCCCCTGCCCCGACAGCTCTCTGTCTTCTTGGTCTATAGCCCCATCCATTTCTGCCTCTGAGCCTTTGCTCCCTGTGGTCCCTCTGCTTGGGGTCTCGCCCCTCCCCTGTCGCACCCCTCCACCCACCAGCCCTCAGCCAAACCTGCTGGTACTGCCTCAGCCACCTCTGGCTGCCGTCTTGCTCAGTCTGGATCAGCTGCTCCGTGTCCCCCAAGCTCCCGGGCAGCCGCTCCTGACCGGGGGTGTCCAGCCTTTCTGGGCCCCCATCTGAGGACCGGGGCTTCTCACGGCCCTGTCTGAGGCTCAGCGCCCGGCGCAGTCGGCCTTCCAAGGGCCTCCCCCAGGGCTCCTGGAGCTTGCCGTAGGAGGGCCATGGTCCTCGCAAGGACCGGCTGCGTCGCCCTGTCCCCATGGTGCTGGAGGCTGCAGGTGCGGGACTGCTTCACCACTCGGCGAGCCACTGGCCTTCTGAGATGGCCTGGTGCCTCCACCCACCTGACAGGAGCTCCCTTGGGGACAAAGGTTGGTGCTGCTGAGGTGGCGGTCATAAACCAAAGGGCAGGCCACCAGGGTCAAGCATCCCTGAGTCACCCACACAGCACACCACTGCCTCTCCACCTCCCCGGGAAGCGGGTACAGGCTTCCTCTCTTCCTCCTCCAGGCAGCCTTCCCTGACTACCCCGTCCCAAAGATCTTGTCCTCCCCTGAACTCTTGTAGCCCTGGCTGTCCAAACATTTTGTTGGCAGTGAGAACAGATGGCCCAACAGCAAAACAGGGACGGGCTTTTAAGAAACAGGATGGCTCCAACCTAGAACGATCAAATTCACAGGGACGGAAAGAAGCATGGTGGTTGCCAGGGCCCAGTGGGGTGGGGAGGTGGGAGGATTGGGGGAATAGGGGGCAGTGGTAAATTGTTTAGTGGCTACAGGGCTTCAGTTTTGCAAGGTGAGAAACTTCTGGAGTTTGGTTGTACAACAATGTGAATGTATATAACACTACCGAATTGTACATGTAAAAATCGCTAAGATGGTACATTTTATGTTTCTGTATATTTTTACTACAATCAGAAATTTTAAAAAAGAAAGAAAGAAAAAAAAGAAAAAGAGGATAGTTCTGGGGCTGAAAGTTAGGAGTGTTAGGTGTTTCCAGGTCTAACTCTGCCCATAATTTTCTGATAGAATAGGGTTAAGAGCTCAGGCTCTGAGGACCAGCTGCTCCTAGGTAAACTGTGGTTTCATCACCCACAGCTGTGCAACGCTGGGCGCCTTCTCCCCCTGGTTTCCTTGTCTGTAACAGGGACAGATAACTCATATGTTGTCATGAGGACTAAATGCGATGAAGCTGTGCCAAGCACAGGGCTTGGCCTGCAGTAAGTGCTCAATAAAAGTAAGCTGGTGTTAGTCAGTATTTGAGGCAAATCCTTTCCCCTCTTTGTCAGTCTTCTCATCTGTAAAATGGGTTGTTGTGAACAGTAAATGAAATCATGAATGCAGGTCCCTCCAAGGGCAAGACTACCAGGAGCAGCTCTTTTTCCTGATAGTGGGGAGGAGAAAGGTACTTGGGCTGGGCCAGCCAATCCTTTGAAACCTAGAATTTCAGGGTTATGAGGGACCTCACACATCTGGTCCATGCTCCTTTTTGCTTTTACCACTATTTTTTGAGCGTTTTTACTGGTTCTGGAGTTAATTCCTCCCTATATTTCCTTTAAACCTTATGATAGTCCTACAAAGTGGGAATCATTATCTTCATTTGATAGCTCCCCATTTTGTAGACTGGCAAAATGAGGCTCAGATTGAGCAAACCCAGTAAGCAGCCGAGCTGGGACTCCCACCCTGGCCAGCCTGGCTTTAGAGCCTATGCTCCAACCACTCTGCTCTCCTGTCCTGGTGTTGGTAGCAGAGGCAGATGTCCTGCGTCCTCTGTGTCTGGGGTGCTGCACGGGGTGCCCTGTCTGGGGTCAGGGAAGTGCTAGCTGCAAGACCTCTTGTCGGCTCATCCCAGACCCCTGGTCTTGCTCCTTCTCCTCTCTCAGAATTTTTAGGCCTTCCTTGCATTGAGGATCTCTTGCTATCTGCCAGGTTCACTCCCCCCTTTCCCCCCAGTCCCCACCAGTGGAGTCAAGGGATGGCCAATGAGAAGAGGGGAATTCATGAAAGGAACGCTGACCCTCTGCCCCAGCCTGTCTCAGAGGTGGACTGTGACCATCACTCCAACCCTAACCACACCTCTAGCACCTGAGCCACAGACCAACCCTGACCCTGGTTAAAAAGCTACAGAACAATTACACAAGCATCAACGCCTTCCCTGCAGTGCAGTTAGCTCAGATCCTCCCGCTCATCCCAGTCTGGGCTGGGAAGAGCTTGCTGATGACTCACAGGCTTCTGAGACGTGTCAGGGTGAATCACTCGCTTTGCGTCACGCCTATAGCTGCCAAATACCTTCTTGCCAAGTGTGTAATCTTACAACAATTTCCCAAATCCACAAATCCGTGGAGGACTAGGAGAAAATATGTCCTTTTCCTTCCCTCCCCACTGCCTCCCTGCCTTTGTCACCAGGAGGGCAAGCTCTCACCTTTCCAGAACCTGCTGGGCGGCAGCTCCCTGGAAGCAGGCCTGACCCTTCAGCTGGGTTAGGGAGGCAGCCCCCTTTCTGGCCCTCCCAATACACACAACAGCAGCAGTCACAGGGGGATGTCACACCCTGCCACACTTGATATCCCTTGACAGCTGGGACAACACCTCTTTTATCTCTGTCCCCAAGACATGATAGAGTCAATGCTTGGCCTTAAATATTGGAGATTATTATGCGTCTATTGCTCTGTAACTATTTACTTGCAAACTTGGTGGCTTAAAGCCGCACTCAGGTATGGCCTCACCTCCTGTAGGTCTGGGATCCAGGCATGGCTTAGCGGGGGCCTCTGACTCAGGGTTCCTGACAGGCTTCAGTCAGGAGGCTACAGTCACGTCCAGGTTTGACTGAGGGTGGATCTACTTCTTTGTAAGTTGTTGTGCTGAGGGTCTTAGTTTCTTGCAGACTGTTGGCAGTTACCAAGGACAACTCATATCATGGCAGCTGGCTTCAGTGGGAGCCAGCAGGTGAGAGGGCTAGAGATGGCAGGTGGGCAGAGGCCAGATTCTTTGAGGAATTTAAATCTTGGAAATAATCTCCCAACACTTTTGCCGTATTCTGCTCCTCCAAGGCAAGTCACCAAGTCCAGTCGGTACCCAAGGGAGGGGACCCACAAGGGCATGAACACAAGGAGGCTGGGTTGTTGGAGGTCATCACAGTGGCTGTGACAGCTATGTGCTTTTTTAAAAAGCTATTTATTTATGTGGCTGTGTTGCATCTTAGTTGCGATACATGGGCTCTTTCTTGTGGCACAGGGGTTTAGTCGCCCCTCGGCATGTTGGATCTTAGTTCCCCGACTAGGGGTCAAACCCATGTCCCTTGCGTTGGAAGGCAGATTCTTAACCGCTGGGCCACCAGGGAAGTCCTGCTAGGTGCTTTGAGTGAGCAGCTTAACCTCATGCGCCTACATTTACTCAGCTATTAATAGGGATGCTATTTTATCTCATCAAATCTAAGACAGCATCGATGGAAAGGTAGCATTATTTCATACATCAGTAAGAAAGGATATCTACTGCCCATTCATTGAAGATAAAGCCCCATTTCAGAGGTTGAAGTGTGTGTGTTGGCAGGGAAGGGGCTGCAATATGTATGCCTTAACATGAATGAAACACAATCTTCCCTAAGGTGGTCCAACACTTAAATGTCTGGTGTCATTTAAGGTTGCTGTGACGTTTAGATACAAGGAAGGCTGCAAACTGGGGCAGGCTGCCCAGTTCTTTCTTACTAATGATCCAATGAAACTGCTCCAAACCTACACACTGTGAGCAAGATCTTGTTTTGATGATGTCTAGGCTAGAAGTGAGGCCAAGGGGAGCAGGGTAGAATCTCCACCCCCAGAAAAGGAGGAATTCTCATGTACATCAAGGAAGGTATCTTAAAACAGACACTCAGTGCTGAGGGGGCACAGAAGAGAATGGGAGACCCTATCTGGCTTGGGGGTGGGGAGAATCCCGGCAGGCTCCCTGGAGGAGGTGGCGTTGGAGCCCAGCCTCAAGGGCGTGGAGGACTGTTGCAGTAGAGATGGGGGCAGGCTCCTATGGGTGACCAAAGCCTGGGAGCAGAAGAAAGAGTTTCCCTTTGAGTGGGAGAAGACTTGAAAGGCAGGTGGCCAGTCTTCCTTCCAGGACCAGGAAGAAGAATCTGACTGATCCTGAAGACAATGGGGATGGAGTGGGCCCTCCACTCCAGGAGCCTTACCTCTGTGATCGTGTTTCACCCTCACACTCCTCTGGAGCTTAGCCCCCCTTTTCAGATGAAATAACAGAAGCTCAAAGAGGTGAAGAAACTTACCCGATGAGACACAGTCAGTAGTGGGCCTTGAATGCAGTCCCGCAGAGTCAGGTCAGCAAACAGAGTCCTCAGCAGATGTGCATTCCACCCCCACCCACCCCCATTTTTCACCCCGGTCTTCACGCACCCTTCAGGATGATCAGAGAGAACCGTGAGCCTAATGGTTAGTGCCACTAGAATTTTCCTTGAAAATGTGATGCCCACCAGAAACAGGGCAGGGGGCTGTGCAGATACACATTGTTGTTTGCTTGTTGTTTGAGTCGCTAAGCCATGTCCGACTCTTTTGCGACCCCATGGATTATAGCCTGCCAGGCTCCTCTGTCCATGGGATTTCCCAGGCAAGAAGAATTAGAAGTTACACATTTCCTTCTCCAAGGGCTTCTTCTCAACCCAGGGACCAAACTGTGTCTCCTGCACTGGCAGGCAAATTCTTTCCCACTGAACCATCTGGGAAGCCCACAGATAGATATATTTAATTTTAAATGTTTGCGTGTTTCAACTGATAATTTCTCTCTTTGCCCGAGCACGTCTTGTAATACAGTACCTTTGAGGGGAACTAGTTCTTTTACTTCAGAACAATGGCCTATTGTTTTGGTCTTCATTTCTCCAGAGGAGGCTAGAATGCCAGGATGTCAGGTTCAACAAGAGATTTTGGTCAGCTTAGCACTTGGAGAAATCAGAGAAAGGGAAGGATAAATATTAGGTTGGCCAAAAAGTTCACTCAGGATTTTCCGTGCCCTCTTACCCAACAGGAAAAGCACTTACAAAAGCTCCCACGCTCTGAGCCAGGCACCGCACTTCGGGCTTTGTGGTCCTGGCAGCACTCCGAGGAATCAGGGGAGGATTAATCTCAGTTTACAATTTTATTTATTTATTTTGTCAGTGCTGGGTCTTCCTTGCCGTGTAAGCTTTTCCCTACGTGCGGCGAGCGGGGGCTCCTCTCTAGCTGCAGGGCATTTTCTCACTGCGGTGGTTTCTCTCGGTGCAGAGAATGGGCTCTAGATCACGTGGGCTCAGCAGCTGTGGGTCCCGAGCCCTGAGCTCACGCTG